GACATGATTGATAAGCTAGAAAACCACTCCAAATAGAGTTGCAAAATAAAGCATTATTCACAATTAGCTTAAAAGACTTTAGCTATGAGTTTTAACATGAGGGTCTAGTATAACCAAAGACTGGAACAAGTGAAATAACAGCCTTCTCATGGGATTTCTTAGCATGAGAGCCTAATGATGGTAGCATAACAAATGGGCTAGTGGGCCTAGTTTACAATGGTTGACAAGCAAGCACTTCATTGAACTTAACATGCTGAGCATTAGTCAAAAGTTCAGAAATATTACCAGAACTCATAGTAGGTAAAACATGTCACTTCTAGACTAACAGAATATTGGCATCGGACTCACACCAGTTAATCACATATAGAAGAAGAGGCTATATATTGAAATCTTAGGCAATACTTGAATAACACAGAGTTAAACAAGTTAAAAGGCACACATTAAATAGCAAGAAAAATATGTCATGCTTGTTTAGAAATTCAGGCAGCACTGGCATATAGAAATTACATGAGCATGGATCAAACATAAGAAAGTTAACAAGTTGTACATGAATGACTCACTAGGAAGTAATACATTAGAGCAGATTTTGAACATGAATTACTAGTAAGTTTTAACACAAGAATCCAAAATAGAGTATGAAGATACCTCACACCAGGCATTGATCAACTTTAACATTCGGACCAGGCAATCATACAAAGAGCAGTAATTACCTCAGTTAACTACTCATGATTCCAAGAGTAGAACCTAAAAAGAATTAGGGCATTAAAACTACAGAGAGACATTAAGGCTAGCGGATTGAAAACAAAGGTAGCACAATAGAAGGATAACAGAAATTCAAGTAACATTTAAGAGGGCCAGAACTTTATTGCGCCTAGAAAGGAATAAGCTATCCATCTAAAAGCTTTGGACTTAGGTAATATCAGAATACACAAAATTGTAAAAGAGACCTCATCGAGATTGACAGTCAGTAGAACATGTAATAACATTAGAAATTTCATAAACATCAGGGAAGCTGAGTCAAACAATGGTGGCACACACACAATTCACATAAGTGACATCATGTAGGAGGGAAGTAATTTGAATTGTAAAGGTAAAGAACACTAACCAGTTGCAAAAATAAATGAGCAAAAGAGTGAGAAACTTAGAATATCAGTAGTGATTTAGCAGCAGCAATTGAAGGAAGACAGTAAAACCTCGAATCCCCAGTGCTTCAGAGTTCACAAGTGCCTCGAGAAGGGCTCTGAGCAGTGCTTGCACCGGAGGAGGTCGTTTAATAGTATTATGGCCTTGGCTTTCAGTCGGCCAAGAAAGCAACAGTTTTAGAAAATATTCGAGTGTCACAGGGTAAGTGAGTGAGTGAAAGAGGAGAACAGTGAGAGTAATAGCAGTAATTAGCTATGTCCAAAGGGGAAATTGGGGAGGGGTTATATAGTAGTAGAAATTGAACAAGTAAGCATGAAAAACAATCAATCAAACACGAATAAGGAAAGAAATATCACATGCAATCAATAATATAACCGGTAAAGGGGAAATCAAAATTTCAAACCCTAGTTGAGTCCAATGGGCATGAATCTGGTTAGAAATGCAAGAATCGTTCATTGTAGAGTATATATAGATGAAACATCGGCCAGATCTTTACAAAAAATATAGCCAAATCAGGCATGTCTTGAAGGTAGCATTTACCAAAGTTAGGTAAATACTAAGTAACAGCATGAACACATGAGTAGTAGCAGAATAAGGCAAGAGAATCACGAAAGGATTCCATATCGGAGCCGGATTTGGAGAGGATTTAAGGATATGAAAGCTAGGGTTTCTCAGAGATGAATGGAATGGAGAGGCTTCAGAGGCGGCTGTTTAGGTGGGAATGTATCTAGGGTTTAGGTTAAGGGGATATAAGGAAAGTGGAAAGGTTATTGTGGGCGGGTCAGTAGATAAGTATAGGGTAATAGGTTGTTGATGCTGGGTTAAAGGGTATTGGGCCAAGGTTTTGGTCCAAAAATTAGCCCTATATTGGGCTAATAATTAAATACACGAAAATTATTTTAAAATATAATTTATAAAAATAATTAATAGATAATAAAATATTACTTATGTAATAAAATGATTGAAAAAAAATAACTTAACATTTATAAATATATAAAATACTATTTTAGCATGAATAATGTAATAATTGTAATTATGCATAGCATATAGGCTATTATTGTAAAATTGTGTAAATAATCTAAAAATACAAACATAATTATATAAAATAAAGTAAAAATATTATGAAACATATATGTGGATACAAATAATAAATTTGAATGATTAGGTCATTATAAAATAATTTAATGGGGTAATTAATACATATTCAAGTCATTCAAATGCAAGAAAATCAATTTTAAAGCTTTAAAAACTATGGAAAAATTATAGAAAATACTTGTATGACTCTTGTAAATTGGTGAGAATGCAGGAATAATATTTTAAAAACATATATGACATTTGTAAAAATATGAGGTCAAAATTGGGTATCAACACCCACTAGTCCAAACCTTCAACCCTAGGTGGAACCCATTGAGTCGCTAAAACAAGCAAGAGAGGAAGGGTCTATAACGATATGAGACGATCTTTGATGGAAGAAAAGACAAATGTTAAACTTACGAGTACGATTCCATAGTTCTAGAAAGGATGAAACCGTTGCCGAAATGATGTCACTGGTGGCGGCTGCAACGAACCATTCCATCCACCCACGGTCGTTGTCATTATCCATGCTAGATAGCAGAGCATGGTGGCCACACTTGCTGAGATTTATCATTCCCCCGTGGAAGATCTTGGGGGAATAAAGGCTCATCAATCGAGCTAGGGTTAGCTGCTCTCCCCTCTTCAGGCATAGACGCCGAAGACAAGCGATTGTCCTCCATACAAAAGGACTTACTTGTGCCAGGTATACTTGGTAGCAGATGCAGAACTCCATAATGATAGAGTCAATCTCTACACTCAAAGAAAATGGCCCCAAAGTGAAAGGATGCGTAAAACTCTTCTTGGGTAAAGTTACCCGCTCCGCCAGGTCAGGAGCGATAATGTCTAAATCTTGGCAATGACAGTCTTCTTTCACAGCAGGAATGCTAGAAGGTCGGATGGAAGAAGGATATCTGCCAACAGCACAAGTGCGAGGATTTGAAGCATGGAACTTCTCTTCGAAGCCCTTGGTTGTGATAAGACTTCTTGGGATAATGGTGCTCATCGTAGGAGGAGTGGCCTCATCAGCTTTACCTTTGTTCTTTGATGAACTCGGGTTTTTAGAAAAAGAAGCCATTTTTTATCAGAAGGGGAGGAAAGTTTTCTCTCAAGAAGAAGGTTAAAGACAAAATATGAAGTTGAGTAGAAAGATTTTGAGAAAGTTTGATGAATTAAGAAGTGTAAATGAAGAAGTTTGATTTGTATAAGCAAAGGAATAGACGGCTGAAATCATGGCCATAATTACCTTGATAACTGGCAAAAGTGGTGCTGAATCATAGGATGACACGTGTTCAGGGCATTAAATCCGGAGAGACATGCGTCTAATCAACCGTCAAAAACTTCCCGGAGGGGATCAGAGAATTTTCCACCAAGAAAGGTATCTCTACCAACTTTTCAGTAACACAAAGTTATGCCACCAGAAAGCAGGGGGGCTATCTGTATGGGGTAAAATATGTTCATATTTGATGATCGCACGAGAAAGCGACACGTGGAGCTAAAGACAGAAGACAGTCGAACCCGAAAGCAATGATCTCACTTGCCATCAGAAAGAATGATATTCACAAAGGCCAAATAAATGTCAACCACCCGGTAGCTTTTGATGAAGAATGTTCTACAGCACTAAATGCATGATCTGTTATAGAGAATATGACATTCTCTGTCTACCGTTTCACATTCTTCAATGGCCCTCATAATTGTCATTTAAGAGGGGCTCGATCCTAGGACCTTGTTCTCTAGGTGTACCTATAAATAGTGAGCTCTACTATCATTGGAGGGAGAAGAATTCTCGAACAAGCATACACTATATTCTACCAAAAGCTCAATAATATTTTACTCTTCTGCTCATTTATACTGTTCATACTATCTGTGGCAGCTCTACGCCCGGGATTAAGATATTTGCTATTTCAGTTCAATTTCAAGGCTAAGTCACTACAATAAAAACTGGTTTTAGCTACGAATGTCGTCGCTAATTTGTCGCTAAATCGTCTGTAGCTAGCAGAATTTCTTGATAATCTGTCGTTAATCCATCGCAAAATGAGATTAGCGACGGATTTTTCTGTTTAGCTACAGAATTTGTCCGTCGCTAAAGCAGATTTTTTAGTAGTGAGTCTTACAACAACAACAACAACTACCCAGTAAAATCCCACCAGGTGGGGTCTGGGGAGGATAATGTGTACGCAGACCTTACCCCTACCCGATAGGGCAGAGAGGCTGTTTCCGATAGACCCTCGGCTCAGAGAAAAAGAAAACAAGAAAAGAAAAGACAACTCATTAGTAACTCCAGTAGCAACCGTAATAGTAATGAAAGCATAACAACCAAGAGTTAGTAGTGAGTCTTACATCTTTGTCTAATTCATCTACTATTTTAGGATCAAATTAATTCACTTATCTATAAACGACGTATAAATTTCACTGTACCGTTTTACAGGTAAATAAAAATAAAAAGACACATTACTGTAAAGTGTCAACTGAAGCACAGTAATCCCTGAAAAGGGAATAAGAGAAAAGGAATAGAAGTTGAAGAATATATGGATGTCAAACAGTTAAAGGGGTTAATGGTGTTGACCAAAGAGTTGAAAAAGTCAAAGCAAAAAGTTCCAAAGGACAACACGTAGTGTATAGTATTATTCTTACTATATAGAAGAGCCCTAAAGCAAGCAGGGGACCGTCGACATCCCTGCTTGCCGGGGCAATTTGGTCTTTCTCAGTTTTATGCTGGATAAAATATCTGTTGTGCCCCCGCATATGCTGATTTGTATGTTCAGAGAAAGACTAAATAGGTAATTTTGGCTCCACCTTGTGATGGGAATGACGGCCACCGCTTGGCTTTAGGAAAACTTTGCGCTGCTTCTCTGCCTTTCGTTTGTTTAGAATTGCCATCGCTTCTCTTTCTTCATCGTTTAATCTGCCATTCTTATGACTTTAAAATTTTTGTGTTCATTAACGGCACATCGATTTCTGAAATAAAAAATGATACTTTAATAGAAAATTGGGGGTTTTGCTGAGTTTCTTCACACTTCCGTAATTGCTCCATTAAGATCATAGTCGAAAGGTTAGTTTTACTGCTATATTTTATTCCCTTTCTATGTGCTCTGTAATTGTTTTGTTTCAGGGGTCTTGTATATTGTTGCTTTGTGGTTCGAAATGTCATCCTAATTTGTCTTAATTTTTTGAAATTTAGAAAACAGCTTGAAAAGCAACTGGCATTTTCGCTGATTATTTGACAATTCTCCATCATTATTTGTATTTTAAGATTTTGTCATTTTAACCAAGAGTAATAACTTGAGGATTTTAGAATGAATGAGCATGTGACTGACTTGGATTTCAACTACTGTTTGATCTGCATCCTACTTATTTCATTTTCCTCAAAATTTACATGAAAAAGATGAGTTATGTTTTCATTATTTGGAACTTTTTGTGTTCGCTTCTTATCTTTTAGCTGCCGTAGTTTTAGCTTCATAAAATTTGGTTACTAATCTGACAGTGATGTTTGGAAGAGGAGCTATCAATGATCTAACTAGAGAAAGTATAATATAGACGTGATGTTCTATAATTAAAATTCAACAAACACGTTTTGTAGAGAAAAAGTTATCACAAGAGTTGCTTCAAAGCACTCGATTTGTGTTATATAGATAGTTGATCGTAGTGTGTAGGTTTTTTCAAACTCCCATAACTCATGTTGGATCTCAAGTTTTCATTTTAGTGCGTGACAGACGTAGATTCACCAGCTCTCATGGAGACTCTATCTTCTACTTTTGACTTCTATCAAATTTTAAATTTTAATAGGATTAGGAAAAAACTACCGAATGTAGTAAATTGAAAAGGTTTAACTGATATTAAAGAAGATTAGTTGCAGTAAAATATAATATAATTTTTTTTTTGTGAACTACAAAATTACATAGTTTACACTGCCTATATAGTTGTACGAGACTAGGAGTAAGTGAGTGTCTGCGAAGAAATACTGAGAGCCAGGACCAAGCAAGTAGATTTTGGCTCTCTTCCGATATTTCATACCAACATTTTCTAACATGCTTTATTTGGTTATTTAATTAATATTTGAGTTCTTATATAGTTGATATTGAAAGCGCTCTACCATCCGCTTAGCGTATGGAACTTTAGAACAAAATTACATGATAGAAGTAATTTTTAAAATAATTTGTAAAGCTCTGAAAGAAAGTTTCTTCTAAAAGAACATCATTTAATTGAAGGTAGATTGGGGATTTACTGGAATTAACAAGCTGAAAAAGATTTATTCTTAACATTAATCAAAACATGTCAAGTTTTAATAGTTGTGCACATAGGAGGGCATGGTGTGCTCTTACGATAATAGCAAAGTGGCTGCTTGATTTGTATCTATTAACTGTCACGTTCTTGACCATGTGGTTATTTGTTTATCTCCATGTTTGCTTCTGTATTAAAGTGAGCACCTAATAAACTTATCTCAATTTTATTTTGTTGTCTGTTCAAATGTTACATAACCTATTCCATGGTAAACACTTGCTACAACTGTGCCATATCTCTACTTTAAAACTTCTGTATAGTAGTTTGCTTATCATTCTTGGAAGTAACAAACCATTATCATTTGTGTGTCCATTTAGCACATTTATATTTTTCTCCACTCGCTTAATACGTGTATTTTTTAAATACCCCAATAACATTACCAATCAGTTCTAAAGATTCTTTTGAGTCAAATGTCCATAGTCACTCTTAATTATCTTAAAGAAATAAGTTTTGCCATGATAGTTCACCAGGACTATCACCAAATTTGGTTAGTACAGTTGGTTGAATGCATGACCTTATAATAGTAGATCTATTGCGTAAGTGAAATTGTTGTATACTTTTCTTGCAAGCAGAGACTGAACCAACCAAGGTTGTAGGGAATGGAATCAATAAAAATGAAAGAAGCTCTTTTGAGAAAGAGGCTGAGTGTGGAGGAAAACTGTAGGAAGGCATATTTTCTTACTGAGATTTGAGACACAAAATTCAATCAGTTTTCCAGTGAAAATCATAGAAACTGGTATGTGTTCTATCTTAAATAGACATCAGTTGTACAGTAGCAACATTTTCTTTTTCGACCAAGTGAGCCCTAACTAAATCATTACTGCGGTAATTTGTGTACTATTTGTATGCCTAAAGAGATTGACTTATACCATAATTCTTTTTCTAATATCTTTCTTATGCAGATGAATACTGTCACCCATGTTGAAAAAGGTGCACATCCTATTCCGTAGCAAGCTGATAAAGATCCCAAACTCTTATCCCTGCATCTTCCTTTACTTTGCTTTTGGTGTACTTCTGTTTCAATTGCAAACATATAAGAGTTTCAGTCAACTATGTTACCTATTGAACTTTGTATCAATGCATGTGAGATGTTTAGATGGATTACTCCGGAAGTTCTTAAATTCTTTCTTACACATACTTATCACTTTTCATCATTGAATGATACATTTTTTAGTTTAATTTTTAATCATCCAGCTGAATATTATATTACGTATGCTGCAATTGAAATGAAATACACTATAATGCAAAATATTGGCTTTGTTTCAAAAACAAAAGGTTGCCTATCAATGATGGGTTATAGAGCAGAGATCAACACAAACACTATAATGCAATATTTGACATTCTTTAATATGCCTTTAGGTACCTCGTGGAACCAAACTTTTAGGATCAAAACATGTATGCTATTAATATCATGACTTCGTAAACTCAAAGGAGTAAAGTTGCCACTCCTAATCAAAGGTATTGAAATTGAGTACTCAATATTATATTTTAAAATTTCAAATTGCTACAAACAATTGTATATTTGACAATACGTTATGGTGTTTATTTCTATAAAACCTCTTCTATGTTGTCTGTTGCTTGCTTCTGTTTATGGTATACATGTATAATAAGAGCGACTACTGATGGGCACTGTAGCTGATACTCTAAGATGAGTTGCTTTTCTTGAAGATACACATTTTCTATATTTTATGGGTATTGCATCAAAAATACCTGTTTGTAATCACTATGATGGTTGACTGGATAGCAGTAGCATTGTAGATTCATTTATGTCCTCTTTTGCAGATATTGTACCATCCTACCATTTAGTATGATGTATCGAAAAGCCTACTGATTATGATAGTCCAGTTTCTTATTTTATAGATAGAGCTATTCCATTGGCATCAGAACACTTAGAATAAAAAAAAGGTAGAATACTTAATATGTTGGGCCGTGCAATAGCACGGGCAATCTTCATCTAGTATATGAATAGTCAGCAAACAATGTTGTACTTATATATACGTAATTAGTAATGGACGGTACACATTTTAGCTAATATGAACAAAAAGAATAAAACTCATATACAACTAACTGTGTAAATAATTTTATACTAAAAATATAATTTAACTCTAGTTGCTTGCTTTAATTTCAAGTACTTTTACTTAATTACAAATAATTACATACAGTGTATTTGGGGTCTCATAGGAATTGGGAATTCAGAGGCAGAGCCAGAATTTAAAATTTGTGGGTTCAGGATTCTAGTTCGTTTATGTTACTGGGTTCTAAATTAACAATTTATATATATTCTATAAATTTTTTAAGACAAATACATGTTTTGGAATAAAGTTACTGGGTTCGGCCGAACTCGCAAGTGCTATGCTAGCTCCGCCCCTGATTGGGATATAATTTTTTATTTTCAGGTGACCGTTGTATCACAGGTTACATTGAGAGCTTTTATCTTATTGGCGAGAGTCGGATTCCTTACCTTGTAATTCCTCTCCCATATTCCCTCCCTCCCATATGTATAATAAGAAAACTAATTAAGAAAATTCTAAAGCAACCACGTGTACGAAGCATCCCGCATTCACGTATGGTCCGAAGAAGAGCTACACTCCCAGGGGGTGTAATGAAGGCAGTCTATTCTGATACAAGCATCAATGGCTAATTCCACGGCTCGAACCTGTGACGTGTAAGTCACATTGAAATAACTTTACTGTTGCTCCAACACTCCCCTTCAAATAAAAAAAATTCTAGCGGAAGCAAAAATACTGCATGTTCTTTTTCTCATTTGTCCAAACCTTAGTGAACGCATTAATTAGCTCGGATTTGTGTAGGTAGGATTGGAGATGGTAGGTACTCGTAGAATTATCTATTCAAGCTTTGATAGACAAAATTATACTCCACTATATGTGTATGCAGAAGATAAAATTAATCAAGATGCATGCAAGCTGACAGAACATTATGATTATAAAAAGAAGAAAAAAGGAGTAGTAAGTTTTTGATCTTAGGGTAGGGCTGGGCATATATCGGGTAAAATCGATAGCTCGAACCAAAAAATCTTATTGGTTATCGTATCGGGTTATTGGGTTAACTGTTCGGTAACGGTTTAGTGTTATTTTACTATTGGGTTATCGGTTCGGGTCTCGGTTTGCCATTTTTATTTACAGTTTAACCGATAACCTAATAAACTTTATAAAAATATGATTTTACCCTTAGGTATATAAATTTTTCAGTTATCCCAATTCTCTATTTACTGTTGTAATCCTCCCAAATTTGTCATTCAACATATAGAGAAACAATGTTGTAAGATTTATCATATTCTTTGAAAGGGTTACAACAGTCGAGAAAGTTTATATATTATTTATACAGTACACATTATCCTTCATTATTTTTTCCTTCTAGAGTCTAGATTAAGTTATCTTATCGGGTAAACCGATAACCGAACCAATAACGATCGATTACCGATTAACGGATAACCGACATCTTATCGGTTTGGTTATTGGGTTAGGATATTTATAAACTGGCAATCGATATATCAAAAGGATAATATTCACAATCGAACCGAACCGATCGATGCACACCCGTATTCAGGGGCGGATTTACATGGACCCAAGCGGTGTCACGGGACACCGCTTCGTCGAAATTTTTTACTATTTATATATATATAAAAATAATAAGTAAAGAAATACAAGATAAAATCATTAAAAGTGACACCACTTGCAACAAAAGAGCTTAGTAATCTAATGGTTGACAACTTCATGTTTGTTGTGAGAGGTCATGAGTTCGAACTCTCATGGCTCCACAAAATATTTTTTGACTGTTACAGACCTCTTACTAGAAATAGTGATACCGCTAAGAAAGAGAAAACAAATAAGGGGGCAAAAGGCATGTAGAGTAAGTGATAATTTAAGGAAGAGAGAGAGGGATCAGGGGAAGTAAATAATGTGTAAGAGATGTTCCTTCTGAAATACTGAATGATACGTTGTTTTCTTAACCCTTTTTTCTCCCATACATACAGAAACACACACACACACACACAGAAATAGAGAAAGAAAGCACCTTTTGCGAGAGTAAGTGAGTGATTTTTTTCCACATATCTGAATATATGTTTTAGGAAAGCGTGCATATATATTATGTACCCAAACTTCAAAAAGCTAAGAGGGGAATGGAATAGTCAATATAAAGAGAGAAGTATAGATACATAGCCCTCTTTTTCTGAAAGATTTCTTCATTGTTTTTGTGTGCAGAAAGAGAGAGAGAAGAGAATAAGGATTAGTCAATTCTGATTATAACAATTGAGAAGAGACCCTAGTGAGAGGGTACATAAGAGTTGTTTGTGTTGGCATTGTCCAATTAATGCAAATGCAGAAGTAGGGTTATGGGGTAGGTGGGTGGGAAAAAATAAGTATAGTAAATAGTAACGGCTGACAAAATAAAAGAAAATATTTGTAATTTGATATTTGTATTAAATTCAAAAATATACTAAAGTAAATTTATAATTTTATATAACTTGACTACAGGTAATTAGGAGTATATATCTTAATTAGATTAGTTGATTGTATACTTCAATATGGTCTTGGACAATCCATCTTGTTACGAGCTAGCTTTTAGGATTAATTTAACGTTAAGGTACACTTTTTTATATGATATTAGAGAAAGACTCATCTCTATTTTTGATTTACCTAATGTTGCACTCATATTATATTGTTTACGTTTCGGCTATTCAGATCTAAATGTGCGAAAGGCTTTTAGAATATGTCAGATTTGTTAAGAAACAAATATTTATTTTATTATATGGTATTGATCAATCCTCATCATATTAAATTGTTTTAGTTTGAATTAGATTAGATCATTTGCGTTAAAATGTCAAATGCGAGTGTGTGTGTGTTTTGAGTAATAGAAGGGGTTAAAAACGTATCCGTACTCATTTTACGAGCGGCAATACAGTGTCACTTTCCTAATTATTTTTTAGTGATGAAAGGATGGTGATGAAGAAGAAGGTAGCAGATCGACCACCAAAGGATATGGTGCAGTGGATGGGACTGCTCTTTCCTTAACTAGAGGTCTGAGATTAGAGCCTTGGATATAGAAAAATCCTTATTGGGGAGCGCTTCCCTCAAAATCGGGCCCTACGCAACGCGAATTCAAATATAATGGAACTTTAATCCCGATACCGGACATGGGGTGAAAAAAGAAAAGGCAGCAGGATGAGAGTCAGAGGGACAACCCGAAATAAATGCATTTTACCAATCCCTTACATTAGGCTTCGTAAGAAGCGCTAGTGTCGGGATATACCCCTACTTTTAAAACCGTCCCTTTCACTTCTTCTTTACTTCTTCACTTTTCCATCTACTTTGTTTTCATATATGTCCGTCCATATATGTTTGTATTCATATATGTATATTTGTGTATACAAAATACAAACAATACTCCTATGTTCTTCGTCTTAGCTTGTAGGAACAAGTTCGTATGGATTTATAGCATATAGGGAGAACAATTATTGACACCAATTTCAATCAAATGAGAAAAGTTTAGAAATTGACTAACACATGGATAGTATGATTTAATCAGTCAGTCAACCTTTTGATTTTCAAGATTCACACAGTCCTTAAACCAAAAACTTAGGAGTAATTTATACTTCATTTAAAAGGAGTTAAAAACCAAAAGAGATTTATGAATTTCAGAAGGTTTTGAAAAGCACTCTTTTTTCCTCCCGGATAACATGCATGCATGACACTTAGGCCACACATTTTACGCCTAAGAAAGTGCATGGTACAACCCTACCCCCAACTGCCATGCACCCTCCCTATCCTGACCTCTTACCCTAGTCAACCCAAAAGCAATGTCAATGGATATAATCGACCAAACATGTGCGCAACTCGACTATTTTACGGGATATATGCTATATTCTACCGGTACATATGCCGAATAATTTTATCCATTAAAGTTTTGGTAAATAGAATAAACACGCCTATTGTTCTTATCTCCTCTACAATTGAACGTGAAACCTCATAGTTCTTCTCCTACTTTATTGTTCACCAGCTACGCACGCAGTTGACCACTATTTCGATTTCATTTTGTTTTAGATTCAATATATCGTGTTACCACTCAGCAGAGTCCTATATTTTTTAACAAAAAATCGCTATTTACTGGTCTGTGCCGCTTTCCTAATCAAAAGATAGGAAAGCACCCCTTCTCCGAAAATTATGGGGTTATATTGTCGAGTTCCGTCAATATGATTTTCTCAAGCACCCTAGTATACTTTACTTGTTCACCCGAGTAATACTCTAGTTTTAAACTTATTTATAAGAATGACACATTTTTGGATTTAAAATTCAATTTTAAACTTCTTAATTAAACCTGATATTTTCACATAAAATATAAATACGTAAAATTATTAGAATTTCAATAAATTTGGAGTTCTGATCAAATAGTATTAAAATAGAGGAAGTAGTATTTTGTTTTGGAGTTGTTGATAGTGTACAGCAATAATATAAACAGTAAATGGTGAAGGCAAGCATGGCAATGACGACAAACGCATGCAGCTGTTTTTAAGTGTCAGAGAGACGTATTATCCTACTGCAATTGCCACTGCAAATATTTACATTTCAAAAGGACAAAAGGTCATCATTACTTTGCAATAACTAAGCAAATCATCATTGTCCCTACCCTCTCTCTTTATTACACAGGAGTAGAGTATTTCTTTTTTGCCCCGTAAAAATAGCCCGGTGCACTAAGCTCTCGTTATGCACATTGTTCGGGAAAGAGTCGGATCACAAGGGTCTATTTTATATAGTCTTACCCTGTATTTGTTCAATAGGCTGTTTTCACGACTTGAACCCGTGAACAGTGGGCGAAGCTAAAAATTTCTTCAAGGGTGTTCAAATTTAAAAGAAGTGAAAAAAAAATTCTGATAAAGGGTGTTCAATATATGTTATATATCTCTAAAACGTAATATTTTACCTATGTGCACATATAATTTTTCGACGAAGGGTGGTCAGTTGACCACCCTTATGAACATGTGGCTTTGCCACTGCCCGTGACCTCCTGGTCACATGGCAGCAACTTTACCAGTTACGCCAAGGCTCCCCTTCAACTCATTATATCAACAACAACAATAAACTCAGTGTAATTTCACAAATAGAATGTGAAGATGATAGTATATATACAGACCTTATCTCTATCTTGAAGATAGAAAAACTATTTCCGACAGACCCTCGGCTCAGAAAAAACATAATCACAACATTATTAAGAAAAATATAGTAATGGAGAAGCCATGAAAAATCAACGATCAAAAATACGTACCAAAATGTTTTCAATGCGGTAATCATTAGGTAAAATTATAATACATGAATGTAATAGAAAAAAATAAAAACAAAAATAATTATGCGGTAAATAATACTATATTGTTGTATAGGAATTATTATGGTATACTAGAATCAAGAATTAGACGCACTAATTTCTGGATACATACTAGTTTTAGTTTAAATTTTTAAATTTAAAAACTAAGAGAAAATCCAAATTACTAAAGGAGCGAATACTTTTTTTCAAACACTTTTATCACTTAACTATAATAATAATTAATATAAATCTTTGCCCTCGATATATAACTTAATCAGGATAAATTGATGCAATTTAGTGCTAAAAGCAGATGCCATAAAAAAAAATTCATACGAAATCTGTGTGATCCCTAACATATAGGGTTGTGACACATCTTTTTCTTTAATTTTCGTGGTGTCACTTCTGTTCTATACATGAGTCTCACGTGTGACCAATCCAACTAAATAAGGCAATGAACCTGTAATATATATATATATGCTAAATATTTATTTGTACGTACTGGGTATTTATATAATTGGCTCAATAAATACCTAATACATTTTTCCACGAATATGATTATCAGGGTAAATTATAATTAATTAATAGATATTCTTACTTTAATATTCTTTTATCTTAATAGTAAATTAATTATGATAAATTAATATAGCTTAATAAAAACATTCAATAGGGGTAAGTACCAAGTAGGAGTAACTATTTTCTGTGCATTGACCTAAAATACTACCCTACCTTTGACTTAGAGGCTTAGATCTTAGCTGTCCTACGGTTACCAATACTCCTTATTTTGTCCTTCTGATATGGTGCAATATAAGACATAATACAGGTTTCATATTTTTCGGAGAAAATATGCATGAATATTCTTGTCCAAATATCCTACATCTAGTCTATAATGAACAAACATTTAGACCAGAGACAAAAAAACATTTAGAGAAGAAAGTGCGAAATCATACTTGACCAAACATATAAGGCTATTGACATCCTCAAGAAAATGAGGGTATCACAGCGGCGGAGGTAGCCTTTCGGTTACGGTTCAAAAGTATGAATTTATACGTAAAAAATTACTAAAACTTTAACAAGTATTAGATTTAAACTCGTATTTTTAACTGTACAATGAGTTTAATGCTAAAAATTTTAAAAGTTTGAACTCATTAAAATTTAAACTCTGGATCCGCTTCTGGTTCGTCATACTAAAAACAAATTATCTCGGATTTAAGATGTTCTAAAAAGTTTTTTAAAAAAATATTCTATATCTCAAGATATTATTTTCCGTAGTTATTCTTATCCCCTCAAGATCTCTGGAAAAAAAACATCAACGAGGTAAATATGTATACAGAATTCATGAACTCAAAATCCTAGCTTCCCTTCTTAGAATCATGACGCTCAATAAAACTTATTTTAGACAGAATTTTAGAAGTATAGTGGCATAAACTATTAGATTAATAAATAAAATATTAGATTAATAACACTCACAAAATCAACAACAGTAGAGAAAATTCATACAATATTTGGTCTCTCAAAAATACTTATAGATAAGTATTCTGGTGCATGGGCAAGCCAGTATTACCTATCATAATCTTCAAACTTAATATAGTATCTGTTTTTGTAGTTCATAGTTAAAAACTCAAAGTCTCTTATGTAACCTAACTAAGATGGATCCACCGGCGTCCGTCGGCCATCTCCGCCAGCGGCGCGTGGCTGCTGGAACTGGCTTAGTTGACCTAGTAGAAGGCTACTTGCATCAAAGTTGTTATTCCCATGGCCTTCAAATGCGCGAATCATGTGCTGGTGCTGTTGTTGTTGTTGCTGCGACTGATCTCTGGGGAAGAACTGATGGTGGTGGTAGAGGTGGTGGTGATCCCTTCCGCCTCCAGCCATGAAGTTGAATTGCTGGTGGTGGTGGGCGGTAGTGGCAGCTGCAGCAGCCGCAGCTGCCAAGAGTCCATGAGTAGTAGTACCTGCAATACCTGTCGAGACATAATATGACAAGTTCAAGTTTTATATATTGATGGTGTACAAAATATTTACACACATGAATCTCTTGAAAAATATTAATTGGCAACCTAGCAAAAAGTAACTACCTTACTATCACATGTTTGGTGTATGAGGAAATTATTATAACTTAAATCATACACCCTCCATTTCAATTTATATAACTTATTTCCTTTTTAGTCCATGCAAAAAAGAATGACCCCGTTCCGTATTTAGAACCAATGTACCTTTTGCAATGATTTATAGCTAGCCACACAAAATATATGTTCGTCATTTACACCACAAGTTCAAGTCTTCTCTTTTTTATTAAATTATGTGCTCAGTCAAATAATAACAAAAATTGAAACGAACGGAGTAATATAATTAATTACTAGCATTAAAAAAGTAGCATATCTAACAACATCGGACTTTTAAATAGTTGGTCATACAATTCAATAAGGTATCAAAACATATAGGAAATCCTAGGTTCATATCTCTTTGCAACACAAAAAAATTAAAAAAAATCCACATATATAATCCATAAAAAGAAAAAAGAAATATACTTAAATAGTCGTCCATCCAAAAAAGTCATTTGCTATAGGATGGAAGTATTAGGGCCGAAGTTTAGAGGCGGACCCAAAATTTTTACGCGACATGGCACTTTATTCTGCTCAATTAGTGCCCCTTAAATGCTTTTATTGTTCAGGGTGCCAACTGCTTTAAATTAATAATTTTCAAGATATATACGTATATATATACAAGATTTCGGCCGAAGTTTACGGGGTCCGGTAACCCCTAACTCGTACACATGGATCCGCCTCTGGGCGCAACGGCCAAATGTGTAACTTCCCCGAGAAAGAAACAAGGAGTGTGTAGAGAAATAATATAATTAAATACTGAATTAAAAAGTGTGTTTTTAAATAATTTACCTCCTAAGTTTTGGTATTTGGAAAGCTCAGATTTAGCACAGCTAAGATCCATTTGAAGTTGTCGAAGTTGATGTTGAAGAAGTGAAATAACACCAACACAGCCATAAACAGGATCCCTAAGTCTCATATCAGCTTCATAAGCTAATGAATTTACAGCATCTTCACGTTGGTGAGGCTGTAATTCATTCAACAATTTGGTCACGTTACTTGCCCCAAACACTTTGTGCACATTCGCGAATTTCTGTGGTTGATCAGGGGGAAAGTATGGCGCGAAAACGCACTCTGGTTGGCATTTTCGACGTAGAAATTTACACGCTGCACATGGCGAATTTGACGATAATGAAGAAGAAGAGGAAGACATTGATAGTAAAAACTTGTTTTACTTCTTCTGAATTTGTCTTGCTTTAGTTAGACCTGAAATATGGTACAACCAAATAGTATTGAAATTAATGAAGTATGACTATGAGAGTGCACATATATATAAATAGGGTTAAGTGGTTAACAGTTCACAACTGGGATATGCTATAGTGAGTATATATTTTCTAGGAAAATTTTACGAAGATCTGGAAAAAAAGTTGTGCTGTGAAATATGAATATCTAAAAGAGGTTCTTGAAATTTCTTATTTTGGCCATGTGGGTCTTAGAAACTTAAAAGACCAAAACAGTATTTTATATATATATATTCTTGAATAATACTACCTCTCAAAATTTCAACCGGAATTCAGATCCAAAATAACCCTTTTACTTCCGCTATCCCAAATTATGTGACATTTTTCTTTCCTCAAAATTTAATGTGAACTTTGACCAAACGTTTAAAATGTATTTTTTAATCATACTGACATGGGAAGAACTGAACTTATATGATTTTTCTTTTATATAATTGTTGAAAAATTAAAATTTTAATTTTAAAATACTGAATTGATACAATCCAATTTAACTTTAAATACTAGTCAAATTGACTCACGAGAAGTGAAAAATATCATAAAAATTGGGACAGAAAAAATATAATAGTTTGTATGTTACAAGGCCAAAGGGGAGAATAATGGAAATTGTAGAAGTAAGCAGAAGAAACAGTAATATAAGTAGTAGTACCTGTTTTTGCTGTGTTTAACCAAAGGAAACAGAAACAAGACTTGTGCTTTGTTTGCTGCAATTGAAGACCAACAAAATCTTTGGTAATACTATTATTCCAGAAAAAAAGATGAAGGAAATGAAGAAGAAATTAAAAGTATAGCAAAACAGAAGGAGAAGCAAATTTTCACTCCTGACCAAAAACCAACCTATACATACAAAGTAGTAAAAGCTAGAAAAATAAATAAAAAATATTGTACGTACGTACGTATAATATGAACGGCTTAAAAATGGAAGGAAATAATATTATGAAGAGTACTACCTAGTCTAGCATAACATGGTATTAAGAAATATTTCTTGGGGGGATTTATTTTGGGATTGGATCCTGTGTAATTAAGTGTGAAAGTAAGAGCTTTGTATTTGTTAAAGTATGGAGTAATAATATATTATTTCACTCATTACAATGTCATAATTTTAGTCTCCTATTCAGATCTTGCTTGAAATTCATTCATTCACCTCCTCTTGTATATTTTTGTGCGCATTGACAAAGTCAAGATTTTCATTAAGAAGATTCAAAATATACAACAATAACAATAAATTCAGGTAATTATACAAGTAGGATCTAGCGAGCCCTACTTTGTGCAGATAAAGAAGCCGTTTTTGGTAGACTCTGGCAAGATTCGAAATATAAAGAAATAAATATTTTAACATTGAACTTCTCTACCCCTAGCTCTTCCCATGCTTGTGTGAGAGAGAAAATTAAGAAAAAAAATATGAAATTAAAATAGTAATACTACCTCCTAAGTCTATTATTTTTGAAAGTTTGCGTGCCACTATTTGGTCAAACCATTCTTTTCTTTTCAGCACGTAGTGTTTATATATCTGGCTCGATTATAGTGAAAAGATGGGTAAAAGTCAAGCTTGGATCTTGTGTAACAAAAGCTTTCTTTTTCAAAACCAGAAAACTAGAAAAATATACCCACTACTACTACTACTAGTATATATATAGATGAAATGATTACCCTTTTTTCCTTTTGCTAAAAACAGTTTGCTTTCTTTCTGACTGATGATCTTCAAGAAAATCTTCTCTTCTCTTATCTGTATGTGAAGAAAGGGACAGAAAAGTAGCAACTAGGAACTATGAAGTAAGATGAGGCTCTAGTTTTTTTTTTTTTTTAAATAGAAACAAAGCAACCAAAAAAAACTAGCTAGAATTCGAGGGTATGAAATCCCAAAAATATTTTTCGTAACACGTCAAAAAATGCTAGAAGGCACAAGCAGACATGCTATGAAGTGAGATGATGCTCTAGTTTTTTTTCGAAAGAGACACAAAGCAACAAAAAAAAAACTAGCTAGAAATCAAGGGTATGAAATTCCAACAATATTTTTCATAACACGTCAAAAAAATGCTAGATAGCACAAGCAAACATATCATTTAAAACGAGACTCTTGACTGGTGACGAAATTGGAATGACATAATTTTTATAAAACCCTAATAGGTAGTAAGAACAAAGGAGTATATGAACAAGAATAATGATAGATAAATCATGCAGAATATAAGGGTTTTCTTTGAAATGAAAATATATAGTACTAGTAAGTAGAAAATAGTAGTATTAAAATTGGGCAATCTTTAAGCTTCCATATCAAGAAAAGCATATAAAGACGGTGATAATATAAGGTGAAGAAGCGCAAGAAAAGGAGAAGAATTTTCTTGAAATTTTTGGCTTTTTTGTTTGTTGAATGAAGTGAGCAAAGGGAAAAAAAACACAGAAGTCGCCCAAAAGAAGAGGCTAAGGAGACGGAGAGAAAGCAAAAAATGTAAAAGGAGAGAGTTATGACTTTGTGATTATTATTATTATTGGGGGTATGTGGGGGAGGGGGGGGGGGGGGGGGGGGGGGGNCTTATTTGGGATTCGTAGCTTCTTGTTCTTTTGGTTGGAGATGTTGGTTTTAGGGTTTAGTAGGGAAAAGAAAGAGAAAGGGATTTTCAGAAAATAATGTTAAGAGGGATATTTTCTAGACTTGTCTTGTGTCATTGATGTGACCTTTCCTTTTTCCTGTCCTTGTATTCCATTTGTTACACCTTACACACATTTAAGTCGCCTACAACCCTCCCCCCCTCATCCTCTCTATTTCTCGAGTCCGAAACTTAAATAGTGTCTTTTTGGGCACAAAATACATTTTTACTGTTAAAAAAAAGGTTACATAACTACATAATTTTAACGAAAAGTTAGCCGTTAAAGTGATTCGCAGTATTATACTGCGAATTATTAAAAAACTAATTTTTTTAACACTTCGCAGTATAGTACTGCGAACAACCCTCATGAGAAAATTCTTGGGGTTGGATATAGTTTTGTCTTTTAAGTCCATCAATTCCACCCTCCTTTTAACATTGGCCCATGACACCCCATCCCATTGGAAGCACAAACTTTCAAAAATATAAGTACCAATTAAAAAATTATAATAATAATAATTTCATAGAAAGAAATATATATATATATAAGCATGAATACAATGTCGATTTACAAAAATAACCTTATAATATTAAATTATTTTTCTAAACATATTGGATAAAATTGTCATATTTATAATTAGCACTTCTAATTCAATTAAGATTTTGTATTCGTGGAAACTTTTTTAGTACTATTTTTTAACCACTCAAATAGGTTCCCATAAGGATTAAAAAAAAGCACGTAACTTTAATTTGCTGGGAAAAAAGACTTTAATTACTACTTAGTTTTTAGAGTCTTTTTCTTTTATTGAGCTAACGTCAAGTACTAATACAAAAAAGAAAAATAAATATTGAAATACTTATTAGTTCAAAGTAATTTAAGAAAACATGATTTCCTTAAAGCAAGCATGCCCCAATTATAAGTGTATTAGTCCAAAAAGATAAATCGCATAACAAAGGTCTAAAAAGGCAAAGTCATGGAACTTATAGCATGTTTGGTGTAAGTTTCTTTTTGATCAAAAATGCCTATTTTGCTAAAAGTATTTTATTCTTCTAAAGTTAAGGTCTTTGGCCAAGCTTTTAGAAGAAAAAAAATGCTTTTGTGTCGAAACAGAAATAGTTTTTGAGAAGCAAAAGAAGTAGTTTCTTTCTAAAAATATTTTTTTTAAAAAAGCTCTTATGTGAAAAATACACTTAGAAGCACTTTTAAAAGCTTGGTCAAACACCAATTGTTGCTCAAAAGTTTTTTTTTCAAATTAATTAGCCAAACACAAATTATTTCTCACCAAAAGTACTTTTTTAAAATACACTCTAAAAAAATTCTTTTCAAATTAATCTGATTTTAGAAAATTGGTCAAACAAGCTATTATTAATGTCTTTCTTCACCTAAGATATTTTCAATAGGATTTAAGTCATATATATTAGTAGTGGATAGGGTTTCTTTTTGCATTATATGTGAACTTCACATATTCGTTAGTATTTTTATTAGAATATGAATTAATATTTAAGTAATATATATTGATAGTGCAAAGGTTTCTTCTTTGCATTATCAGTGAACTTCACATATTAATAGCACTTTTAAGATTATCAATTAATTTTATCTGAAAATTTATCTGTAATTAATAAATGACATGATTATGTTAATATATACATGGTTCTACAAACTTTAAATTGGAATGTTGATCAACAAGAATATTTTCAACATATTAATCAAATTTTATACCCTTCGCAAAATAAATTATTTCCTTAAAAATAATCGTATGTTGAACAAAATTAAACTTTTAAAATAGCAAATATTTTGAAGATCTTATTCAATTTTAAATATGATTTTATTAGATGGTCATTGAATAACGAGCAAAAACTATGACCAAACAAGAGCTTTTCAAATTAGATAAAATATAAAAAGGATTACAAGAATTACATTTTTTCAGATAAATTTTTCAGCAAAAATGAATGCTCTTCCTAACAAATAATTTATTGTTTTCTATTACCAAGAAAAAAAATTACTGATTTCTAAAAAAAATAATATGATTTACAAAAATTACCTAAGTGTTTGTTTGTGATGATTGATGGGCAATAACGTGCGAGGCACGTTCATAGAGACTAGTATATATATATATATATATATATATATATATATATATATATATATATATATATATATATATATATATTTGTAATTGAAAACTCTTAAAACGTTTCAAAACTATGATAAGGAAAAATTAATCGCTTCTCCAAATAATAATAAATACTGTAGTCCACTTTTCATGAAGTAGTTTTGAGTGTCCCATTGTATATAATAAATAATACTCAAACTCAAGTACAGGGACGCACGATATCCAATGACGGAGGGTTGTTCGCAGTATTATACTGCGAAGTGTTAAAAAAATTATTTTTTTAATAATTCGCAGTATAATAATGCGAATCACTTTAACGGCTAACTTTCCGTTGAAGTGATTCGCAGTATTATACTGCGAATTATGTAGTTATGTAACTTTTTTTTTTAACAGTAAAAATGTATTTTGTGCCCAAAAAGGCACTATTTAAGTTTCGGACTCTCTATTTCTCTCTACATTTTCTCCTATTCTTTTTTTTCTTATGAAACTTCGTTCAAATATTGTTGATAACTTATTCTTTTTTATAATTGTGGTCTTAGGATCAGCCTACATGTATCTCGACTAATCTAATAGTATACACAGGGCGAATGTAGAGTGTTAATGACGGGTTCAACTGAACCCATAATTTTCGACGAGGAGTAAAAATTTATAAGTAAAAGTTCGTTAAAATTACAAAAATAGTAGATACGAACCCATAAATTTAAAAATATAATGGGTTCAATGCTAGAACCTTAAAGTTGAACTCATAAAGTTTAAATCCTGAATCCGCCTCTAAGTATACACGTTATCTCTCGTCAGCACCTCGATTACTTCCACGAAATGTTTGCTCACCAGCATAGGTACCAGATCAAGGCCTGGGTAGACAGAAAGAAATCACTTGTATTTTTGCCTCCATTAAAATTTAAATTTAAAATCTCATGATTCTATATCTAATTCATTGATCACTACGTCATACCCTTAAATGCCAACAATTGATGACTTATTCTATATATGCTAACTATGTTTTTCGACTAATTTTTAGTCATTTCAGTCCAATGCAACGTGAGACTAAGCTAGCGTTTGGATATATATTTGGTTGAAACTTGAAAAAAGAATTTTTGAAGTTGTGTTGAAAATAATTTTTGGAAATTGAAGTTGTGTTTGGACATACATTTTATTTGAAAGAAAACTTGAAGTTTTGTGATAGGACTCTAATGAGGAAGACAATAAATTAAAGATAAAGGATAGAATTTGAGAATAGACCCAACAAATTAGTAATTCAAAAATAATTAATAAAGATCAATCACCCAACAACTACATAATAAAGTGAACCTAAACTATAGGAATACCTTCAAGTGGAAGTGTGATTGCACTTGAAGAACACACCTTAAATAAAGTTGTCATCGATAATGGCAAACTACCATTACACCTCTCAAAAGATTATTCATCATTCATCAAAATTATTCTCCCTAAAATGAAAGTCTTAAGGGCTATTTATACTAGGTTGGGTATTTGATTATCAATGACACAAATACCCTAAGCTAATTCTAAGGAACTAAGTGTAGTCACTTATTACAAGTATAGCCTCCAATTATATGTAGTCTTCAATTAATAGCAAATTACACATATAGCCTCCAATTGCGAAAGTAGCCATCAATAGACATCCAAAGCGCATGTTGGTTATCTTGGGTCGTATCATTTTGTGAATGAAAGAAAAGTTCACCCAAAATTGTCCTAAATCAGTTTTTGGGAATGATCATATTCCATGAACAAACAATGTTTTTAAAATGATTTTGAAAAGAAAAAAAAGAGCCAAAATCTATGGCCAGACTGGAGCTAACTATAGCAAATCAAAGGACAAGTCAAAACTGACTCTTAACAAGTAGTATATGTGAGTTCCTTAACTATGTATCTTCAGCTGTGAAATATGTTCTGACTTGCATATTTCACTACTTCTATCTTGCAACCAAATATTAGAAACAGGAAACAAATTTTACAAGATAAAACATTTCCTACGGATCACATTTTGATTGACAAATACATGTGTGTGTTCAATTAGTGTATAATCTATGTACTTTGGCTAGAAAAATAAACATTGAATCCGACTTATCATTGTATAAAGATCCCAAAAACTTTGACGATCTTTTACACAAATAGCCGGACAGATTCATTATTTACTATTTCTAGCTGCTATAGATAGATTATGCATTGATTACATATAAATATTATATATCATACATAAATTATATTTATGTTATACACCTGTCGTATATTTTTAGTTTAAGTGATTGAGTTTGCAATTATTAGATTAATTCGTCAAACTTGGGGATGGACTGCAAAAGCCCAATATCAAGTGGGCTACAAAATTCCAAGTTCAATTGGGCTGCAGAAACAATAGGTCTGAATGATCAAAGGAATTTTTACCTCCTATAGCAAAGGTTAATACTTTATTTATTTTAAATAAATACCGTTTAAAAAAATTATATTCTATAGATACCTTTTAATGTTTATTGCAAAATCTAATTTTGGTTACCTCCTACCCCTAAGCCACTAAATACGCTATTCAGTTACACTATTTTCTTTCTCTCTCTACTTTGATACATGTCATTCTCTTTCCCGTTCCCTAAAAACAACAGGTTTGCTTATTAAAGCAAATATTTCCTTCAAAACCTCCCATGTCAAACGATACCACGGGAGACGGATAAAAATACACAGATCGA